ATCTCCCACTTCCATGACGTGATCACAACCGGCCAATCAATGTATCGATTGATCAAGCGTTTCCGCCTTGTTTGCCCCCGATCGGCCGCAGTGGTTGTCTCTACACTGCTGCAAACGCCAGCCTTTTCATCATCTCTGTTGTTGCTCAGGACAACGCATGTACGCTCTCACACACTCGAGTGCTCACGCGCTTTGATCTTATAGCGCAGAGGAAAGTTGGAGATGAGTTTTGGAGCTGAAACAGTGAGCTCGATATCTGTTTAGTCAAGTGTTTGAATAACTATTTTTCCATACCAAAACTATGAGGGAAAGGTTTCCAAGCTTAGTACAGTATGTGTATTGGCAGTTCGTTTCACGTCGAATGTGCTTTTGAGAGAGGTCGGCCACTAATATATAGAGTCATTTTCTGACAAAAGTATTACACGAGAAGCATCGTTTATAGTTAACAAAAAAAGAAATAAATAATTCACAATATGGAGAAGAAAAGGACCAAAGGACGGATTTTTAAAAATTTAACAGAGATTGCGGATGGGCACAGATGCTGCACTTAATAATTATTTATCATACATTTTGGACTGGAAGGAAAAAAAGTTGTAATAATACACTGTTTTAAAAAAAAGTAACCTATACTGTTGTCTGCTCTGCCATTCAAAGTTTTGGATACATAGGGATGACGGCATATTGTTATTGTGTTGGACGTGCGGTGGCCTTTACTTGGTGCAGTACGTTGTGATTAAGACATAGTTATTTGGAAAACAAAAGCTGTAACATTGTTCAGTTTAACTGACACACCAGGGAAGACATTGTTGTTACATCGCAATGGCTACGAGAAGGAGAAGAGGACGGAAACGACGTAGGAATGTTGTTAACCCGAGGGTAAGTCTTTTTGTTTGACTATCTACATAATTTCATGAAATTGATGAAACAATAAATAGAGAAAAGTAAAAGAGTGGTGGCTAGGGATGTGAGGCTTGGAAGGAAATAGTGTAAAACATAAGGGGGGGGGGGGGGGTAAAAGGTGAGCTGTGATAGGTAAAATATAATAAATAAAATGTTAAGGTAACGGGAATAGGTAAAATGTAATGGGTGAACTTTGAAAGGTAAAGGGTAAAGGTAAATTCAAAGAGTTATTTGTAAAGGGTAAAGTAAAAAACGTGAAAGGTAAAAACGGGGGGTACCGAGTAAAAGATAAATGTCATTGGTCAAATATAAATGGTAAAGAGTCGTGGGTAAGTAAAGGTAAAGGATAGAATGTGAAGGTTAACTGGTTAATGTAAAAGGTAAAGAGCAATAGGTAATGGATAATAAGTATAGAGTTAACAATTAAAGGGTAAAGAGTGAACGTTAAAAAGTAAATGCAGGGTACCCTGAGGCATGAGGTTTAGTCCATATGGTAACAGCAATATTTCCTGGCCTTAAGCGTTATAATACATACAATAAGGTTTAATTCTAATCATGGTAAAGAGCTTGTTAACTCTTTCATAATCTGCACTGATACTTTCGAGCCTTTGTTTACGCTTGCTGACCTTGCACTGAAAACTAGCGGCGATTATAGAGTTAATCGAGAGCACGCTTTGACTTAAACCTGTTAAATCTGCCCTTTGGCTTTTTCTCTCTACACCTGTTTCTGATCCTTTATAATATCATACCGGGGGGCAGGATAATATTATGGGTCTTTATTAACAGCTGATTCCAGAACTTGGCAGCAGGGACACAACCATGGTAGAAGGAAGAGAAATGAGGGAAAAAATAAGGGAGGCAGGGAGGGAGAGGGGAGGGGTGCGTGTGAATGTGTGTGTATATAT